TTTAACCCACCGCCTCATGCACTCCCCCTTTCTCTCCATCTAAATTGCAAATAGCAGCAGTGCTGACTGCCAGAAGAGCTCCTCAATGTCATTAGAGCTGACCCTGTGGATTAACCAGCGGAGGGAGGTGCTGTGCAGAAAGTACAGATCAATAAAATGGTTATCCTCTGGGTTCTTTTACTTCACTCTAGATTTAGATCTAACTATCTGAAATGTTTACCCCAGTGTAAAAAAACAAAACAACCAAGGCTATGAATGGTTGATGCAAATTGAAAGCATATAACATGGGGAATCATGAAAGCATGGATCTCTATCATGATTTATGTACTTTGGTTTACTTTGTACTGATTACCAGAACATTATTTATTACACAGCAGGGTTGATCGAAATGCCAGTCACTGTCATCTGATAGGGTTAGCCAACCATCTATTGAGATTACTCAGAAATAAAAAAAGGAGGAATAATATATCTGTGTAGGGTCATTATTCTTTTGTGTTTGCTTGATGAAAACTGCACCGTAATCCAATAAATCTGAAGTTATGCCACAATGCATTCGACAATGTTTTAACTTTTAAAATATAAAAGAATTTGTGTATGTATTCAGTTTTTATTTACTTTTAAATCATAGTTTCTTGAAAATGCATTTCCATAGCTCTGTTTCCACCCTAAGGTGGAAAATTGACATTTTCTTTGAAGTTAAAAATCAACCGTATTTATTCTGCTACCAAAATAAGCAGGATGGTGAGGGAGGTGCTGATGGTAAGAAACAATCTATAAAGCTCCCAGATAGAGAAAAAGGTGTATAAAAATACCTGAACAAATAAATACTTTTCTAAAAGTGAAAATCATTGCTTAAGAAAAGTATTTAAGTAAAAAATTAAGTAAATATTTTTTTTTTTACAATAATTGAAGAGGTAAATGTAAAAGTACCAAATATTTTTTAACATAAAAAGAAGCAGGGCAAACTTTTTTTTTTAGTCCACTTAATTGACTTAGGTAAAACAAAGAAAAAAACATGGAGTTAGGAATTGTTGAAAACTGAAGGCTTGAAAAAGCTTAAGGAAAATTTCGGTCAGCAAGGAATAATCAATGGGTCATTATTTATACCTAAAACTAATAAATTTGTTGTGATTTAATTAATTTAACATTAATCAGTAAAAAATAAAAACAATATATTTCGTTGCGATCACTGAGTCAGGGAAGGGCCATTTTTGCCCCAATATAATAACACCTCACTGCTGACATCTTCCGACAGTGACGTCACGGTGCGCTAAGCTGAAGGCAATTCTTCCTCCACGGGTTCGTTGTTGGATTACCAACTTGAAGAGAGAGGATTTGCCATCAAACTTCTGGTCAGAGAAAAAACACGTCATTAATCCGTTACTCTCTGCTTCGCATAGTGCACTGGTCGTCGCCATCATGGATAATAGCGCGTTGTAGTAAACACCAGATACAGCACTGAGACTAGCTCAACAGCCGATACCGCACCGTGACTTCACAAGGTGGCAGTAGTGCTCTTTCACAAACATCAACGTCTCCGGTAAAGTACATTCAAATGAAATTACTCATTTATTGAAAAGTCTGTAATAATAACTACTTAAAGTACTTCCAAAGTTTGTATTCTGAATGCGACCAGACTTTTCCTTTTAGAGAAAATTCAATCTGGCAGACTCCTATTATTTTCACCTGAACCACCTGTGGTGTCCCTTATTCAGCTCCAGCCAAAGAACTGGGTAGCTGCACCTTGTCTGAAACCAATCATCTTTCAAGATACCCTTCATTCTTCATTTAGCTCCTGGCCTAGCTTCTCTCTCCCGTGTGCCTGCCAACTTTCACCCACCTCCACCCCATCTTCATTCGCCAACTACTCTCAGTCCCATTCAACCTGTGGCTGCTTCTACTGGAGGTTTCTTCCTGTTAAAAGGGAATTTTCCTCTCCACTGTTGCCAAATGCATTCTAAGTGCAAGGGATTGCAAAAAGTCAATGAGTTGATGTAATCGGCTCATTTTTTTTAGATAGAAATATTTTGAAGAATATGAATGTGTTAATTCTATTGATAAATGGAATATTTTCTAATTGCAGCTTTTCTCTTTATGAGTCTCTCCAGGCTGAATTCATCATGAAAGTGCCCTCTGTAAGGATAAAATGAAAAATATCAATTCTGTCTTCGAGGGAAAAAACGACCAAAGCTCATAATAACACAACCAAAACAGAAGATAATTTACTACACTTATATACACAATAATGCAACAGTTTGCGGTAACTTGGATTTATCAGCCATCTACTGTAACAGTATAAATGATTTCCTCACCTCTCAAGAGAAATAAAAGATTTTAAAAATTCTGTTTGTTTTTTTTTGTTTTTTTTTTAAGGGGCATACTCAAAAAGATTAGTAAACACTTGACAAAGCACAATAAATTGCAGTGGGGCGTGGGGAACTGGACAAACGATGCACAGTTCTCCTCTCTTGTTCACATGCCGATTGCACAAAAACGTATCCTTTCATTAGAGCCTCTGATCATTTGTTAATTTGTAGTAAGTAACAGTGTCTCAGATTTCTAAATAAAGAACCTTAAAGAACAATATTTTAGATCTCATGTTAAACAAAAAAAGATTAAAAAACTCAGTAAGCACGAATCCACAAAATTTAATTAAAAACTGTAACAAAGTACGGTAATGTATTTATAATGGTGTATAGTAAATAGCGTGCTCAGTTACTATACAGTTCTACAGCCACAGCAAAGACAGGCATCTTTGTGCAACTAACTAACCAACCAATCTCCAAGAAACCATTCGACACTTTCTACCCCCCAGCTGATTTTGAGTCTCTGTCCCACAATAACAGATGTAAATGTGTGCAGTTTTCTAAAATCTGCTGGGACTTTGAAAGGAACCGTGTGCTTTCAATGAGCTTTGTAACCAAATTCTAAAGGTGTTTGGTGTGAAAGAAAGAATAAATACCTTACAAACACCTGATTCCAGGTAATAAGTGTGATGGACACTGTGATATTGTGAGCCCATTTCACTGTAGTGAGAACCATTCGCACTGGGAGCCTTTTTAAACTACGGTATGCATTTCTGTGATTCCAGAAAACTAAAGATTTTTAGGGTTCTTTTTGTGGTGGTCAGGATTAAAAACACTTTTCCAAATTTTAATAATATTGTTCACTAGAAAACAAAACCAACCTGTATCCATGGTCAGCTCAGTCTCCAGGGATCATTTCTAAAAGCAGAGGGATTATTTTATTGCTAAAAGTATATAAATTGATAAAGAAGTCTAGGTGCTCTAGATGCGCTCGTCCTTACACTCCAACTTCCATCTGCAAGTCATAGATACTGTAGTGGTGTTGTGCTAAAGCTTTCAGTACTGCATGTTAAATAACAGCCTAGTCCTATTCTGGAATTTAATTTGAACATCTCAATAAAGAATAGTAAAAAACTACTAAATATTATAAACGTTTATTTCTTAAAAGCTACTTTTACATTCTGTTTTTTTACAGCCTCTAATGACCAATGAGAATGTACTGACAACATTTTGATTCATACTTCATGCAATTTCAACAGTATATTTTCCTTTTTTTGATGCGCAGGCTAAGTATCTAAATAAAGTGTTTAGTGCCATCTAGTGGTGAGAAAGTTACGTACTAGATGGAACGTCAAAGGAGTCAAAAAAGTAGCATACAGAACAGTCAATTATCTTGATTTTTTACTTTATTTTTCTTTTTCCTCTTCTTCTTTTTCTAATTATTATCTTTATCATTTTTATTAGAATTTAAATATTTTTAAATGTTGAAGGTCATAAAAAATGGATGTCCTTTTCAGTTTTAAAGATCACATTGCAGATGGTTAAATTCAGCAAAATGTATTCACTTAGTGGGGAAAAAAACACAGTATTGGTTTAATCTTATTGCAGATATACAACTAAAGTTTCTAAAGCTGTTCACCAAAGTAGTTATTAAGATTTATATGTTATTTATTTTAGATGACTGCTGAATGTTTCAGATCATGGAGCTCATTTTACTACACAAAGCCAACTTAAGAAAATACACAAAGCAGCCTAAAAATTTATTTTATCAATTCCATTTAAAAGGGTATCCAAACTAATAGGCATTTCATTCATCAAACAGAAACCAAACTCAAACAAACATATCTTGATTAAAAAAACGGTAATGTTCTGCTTTGGGGAAACTTCTCTGTTTCAGGCCTCAAGATAGTACTTAAAGCTACAGTGTGTACTTTTCAGCGACATCTAGCGGTCAGACTGCAGGCCGCAGCAACATGAACATCTCCCACCCACCGCTTCTCCCCCCCAACAGTACGGCGAGCGTTACAGGACAAAATGTCTTCCACGACATCCGCATCACCTACCTTTTCAAGTGATGAGGTTTGTTTACATAGATAATTTTACCTACTTGTGGTAACTGCAGGGACATGCCTACGGACCGAGAGAGGGTATGCTGTGGTCAGGATCCAGCTCACTGTGCGTAATGGGCGATCTGGCAATTGCTACTTTGTTGGCTCTGCGCTGCCGTAGCGCAAAGATGTCTGCCTCCATGGCTGCGAGACCCGCTCCTATGTAATTATAAATAACGAATTCTAAGGCAACGCAAATATTAAGGTTAAGAGGCTGAGCTCGTAGATGATGATAAATAACATAGTTATGTATAATATATTACATTTCTGACTGTATATCCCTGTAATTATTACACACTGTAGCTTTAATAAACAAACAAGGTCTCTATTCAGTAACAAGGGGGCACAAGGAATTGAACCAGAGACCTCTTGATCTCCAGTCAAATGCTCTACCACTGAGCTATACCCCCACCGTGAAAGGATCAAAGATTAACAAAAACAATACGGCCTAAGTTTGCATGATTGCCCAAAAATGCTGAACAATGGCTTTAATATAAAACCATTGAGACAATGTTAATCTGACAAGATCAGGTTTTTCAGAAGCTGTTCCACTTAATAGAGGCTCTATAGCCTTGAGATGGTAACAAGGAGGAATCTGGAATTGAACCAGAGACCTCTTGATCCGCAGTCAAATGCTCTACCACTGAGCTACACCCCTAACGCACAGAATGCTTTGGCACTCACCGATATTTGGCTAAACTTTGCTGTTTCAGAACCTGAACAACTAGAAATACTTTATCAAAGTGTGAGTTATGATCAAACTGAGACCCAGTAAAAAAAAAAAAAAACTCCCAGCTGTTACAAACTTTCTTTTTTCACATCCCTTTTGGCTGAGATTCCCTTACAAGGGCAGGGTGCTATTTAAAGCCTGCTAATGTGCTTAGATTCCATCACATACATTTAAGAAGTGTAGACTTGGCAGATTTTTGCTGTTGAATGTCTATTTTTCACCACTTGATGGCCCCATTGAGCCTTTACAGCGTACAGTATACGAGGCCTTAAGACATTGACTATTTTGAAAAAGAGTTGTTCAAGTGCTCCAAATCATCACTGACATGTCCACATATTGTGGATACAGATATGGGCTATGGAAAATATTGGTAAGAATGAGGCTAAACATTCAGTCCACTTTTTCTTGAATCTGATCCAACTACATTATGACATTTAGTTTTTTAATAGATCTTGCATTGTAATAATAATTGACTGAATTATTCAGGGGTAGCAGTAGGTAAATGCCACTGTACATACAAAACAGTAACTCATTATATTGAGTTACTATCTCATTATAATGAGATAATTTTTTTTTTTTTTTTTTTTTTTTACAGAGTGGCGGAAACGGGTTTCCATATGAATCTGATAGTTGGTCTTTAAAAAGATTTTAACCTCGGTGCGCGAACCCTTGGCCTGATTTTACTCTGAGTTTCATCAACAGCACCAGCTCATTAAAAATGATGGTTGCAGAGTTAAACTGCAAAAAAAAAATGTTTCCTATTACTTTTCTCAATATAGCTTACTCAATGAATAAAATCGTATGCTAAAACATATGTGTTTCCAACTTGTAGCATGAAAACTATGCGAGATATCAGTCATGTAGTTATTAACAAACAGCATGACCATTTTAGACCAAAGGGCAATGGAAAGCTTTAAGTATTGGAGATAACAAGCCAGATGAGTGGTTATAGCACATTATGACCTAAACTGTTGAAATACAGTATATTGACGCTAGGGAGACTTTTGTAAACATTACATTTTGCAAGTTTACCAATAGATTATGAATATTTGAAATAGCTAGAACTGGAAGTTATAGTTATTTAATAGATCATTCAAATTGAGTTGCCTCCATCAATTTAGTCATTTATACATTGGCTATGAACAGAGTTATTAATCACCAACCACAGAAATCCGTCTCTGTTCATTCAGATGTTACTGTAAGAAGAGTCAATCTGGTCTGAGTGATAAAGAGTTCACTGTATAAAATAAACACAAAAAAACCACGGGTTAAAATATTAGCTAATAATCCCTATCAGAGAATTATTATAATTAATAGCTATGAACAACTATGCACTTTTGAAATAAGCACAAGTAGATAAAACAAATTAAAGGGGAAAAGGATGTTTAAAAGGCTCTTCAAGAGTGAGAAATTTTCAATTTTTAAGGCTTAATGCATTATAGGGTGTCCTTTGAAATAGCAGCAGATAAATGTGAATTAATCTTGATGCAAAGACATTAAATGCAGTCAAAACAGTGAAGTTTCATTTGGTTTTACAGTGAAAATTAACAATGACTCAGGAATGCATTAAAGCTGTGATGAAGCTAAAATAGAAATAGATTAGCTTAGCTGATCCCTAGGTGGTCCAGCTCTCGCGGCTCCAGCTGAAACAAGGGAGAGGTTAGAGCTTTGTTAAAGTCCAGGAGCTGTCTCTCCAGACACAGATGGTAACACCATGTTGTTCAGTCAGCTCAGAGAGCATTAACATTCAGTTCAGGACTCTTAAACCCATAAGCAGTTGAATCAGAAAGCTTCTTCCATATAACACACAAAGACAACTATCTATTCTATATAGTTCACCCAAGCAGAGCACTTATTAAACATCAGATGGAAAGATGGTTGTTACTGTTTGGCTCGGTGGAATGGTTCAGTTCTTTCTGGCCCACAAACCCCATCCTTAGACCAGTATGGTCATCAAACAGGCAGCTCTCAAAGAGATTTGGATGAATCCAAAGATAAACAAGAGGCAACTTGCAGGACTTCATTTTATAACTTATGGTAGCATTAAATGGGATGTCTCCCTTTAACTATGGCGGTTAGCTGGTTCTTTCCGGCAGGACCAGTATGGCCCAGGTCAGCAGCTTCTAATGGCTCCTCTGCAAAAAATTAGGCCCAGCTGTTGCATAGGCAGTTAGTTGTAGGTTGACAAGAGTTGGATAGTTCTCTCATCTGCTTCAGCAGGAAGGTTCATACACTGCGTTCATTATAGTCTGACTCTGTCGAGCCAGCATAGACTTCTCTGGAGGAATTTTGCGACTACTTGGCTTACCTTTTAGCTGAGAACCGGTTAGTCTAGCCTTATGCGGCTGTAGTAGCCTGATAAACCAGACTAAATTTGAGATTAAATGTGTAATCTGGCCCCGATGAATGAGACATCGGAAGACTGTTGATGAGAACAACCCGTTGTCTTTCAAACCATGTCTGTGCCTATTGGCCAACACTCTGACCAATGAACGCAACTAACTGTGACATAGTAAGCATGACAGAAAGCTGGTGGGGGAGTGTAAACAAACAGCCTGTCGGTAAAATGGCCTATACGTCCTTCTTAAAAATGAATGAGCGTAGAGCCTCTTCCTGCTCACGTTTCAACGAAAACCCCAAGTCTAATCCTTCTAAAACTGATTCCAAAGCTGAGTCAAACGAGAACTATTCAATAGTTGTTGCCATCTTCCTTGTTGTGCTTCTGCAGCGTCGTGCAGCTTTGTCGTCACACCCTCAAAACCCTGCCTGCTTTGCATCCAGAAATTCAAAACACATCTCTGCGTTGTGATTGGCCCGCCAGTTCTAGGGCCTGGGGAATTGATCGAGGCTAGACCAACTCGCAGGCAAAAATGATTTTGGCCGCTGGTGGGTGGGGCTAGTTTACTAGGCTGCCGCTGTAGACCACTGGCAACAGGAAGTTGAATACTGTAGGAGCCGGATCCTTAAATAAACTCACTGGCAGAGATGTGACTTTAGAGGGGAGTGGCTAATGTTACATCACTGACATCTGATCTTAACAATTATCAGAAAGCTTTAACAGTTTTTAAAACCTGCAGTAATAATAGAAACTAGAGGAAATTTAACTTACCATATTTCATTTTAGTAATTTTTAATCCCTAGATTCACTGTCTGATATGTTATTCCTCTAAATTAAATATGGAAATTTACTTGAACATCATTTAACCAAATATGCTATGGCACGATGACAATTTTTACAGAAGAATAAGGTTAAACTTACATGTTTAAAGGTTTTTAACATCCACCTATAGTGTTTCAGCAATAGATTTCCAGGGAACTTGGGACACACATCTGCTCATATTACATGAGTAAATGTCTCAAAACACACCCTATTGCCATTGTAGCTTGTATCAACACAGCATGAATGGGCTGTTCAGTGACTTGTTTAACAAACAAAATGCAGTCAAGCCCAGCCAAGTTCTCTGCTCAAATAAACATTCTTTACTCTAGAATTTGTTTGTTTCTTATCAATTCAGTTATTCAACACATGATCTCTTGCATAATTTCTGAAGGTCATGCTCATTAATTATTACTAGGCTATGTGGAACTTTGTTCTCTGACACACTTTAGAACACAACACCCCTGCCTTAATTACCTTGCCCTATATGCTGTTAGCATGTCACTTTGTGCAATGATAGCTTATCTAAAGACCTGCTTCTGCTTCATGACCTAAAAGCTATTGGTTAAAACATTCTACAATTTTCAAAGAGAAAATCATAAATGAAAAAAAATGCATCAAATTTGGACAAAAAAGAGGTGTGCCTGTTTCTAGTCTGAAATATGGCATATGATCTGAATTGGCATTAATTTTGTGTCAATGAATAACAAAACATTAAAGTTATACTTTTTTTTTATAAAGAGTGTTTGGTTTGGATATTTATAGACAGTCCCTATGAGGACTGTATGTGGGTGGAGGGAGAAGCCAGGCGGAACCAGCTGCTCAAACCAGAACAGTTCAGGGCTGCTGGCCTCTCCCATTGAACCTTACTCTCTTGCCCGCTCAATTCATCAGTATCCGGTGCAAGTGACTGAGATGAATCTGACTGCTCCCTCTCAAAATTATCATGGTTGGGATTACTCGGATTGCCATGTTTGTGTAGCTAAATGTGCAGTTTGCCTTTGTCAGTCATAGCTGCCACAGCACCTGGCCCTAAATCCATAGGACCTTTTGGTGTCCTTTGGGTTACTCCTTCCTGACAGCACTTTTCAAATATTATGTGTACCTCAAAAGAACTTAGGGTTTTAGCACTTTTACTGTTACCTGGCAATTTATTCCATTATTATTGAGCCATAAGAACCAAATGCTGCTTCTCCATGTTTGGTTCGGGGTCTGGTTGTGCAGAGTAGATCTGAGCCAGAAAAGAGGTCTGGGTGGTTGATACACTTTCAACAAGTCTGGTATTTTTCTGCTAAGTTATTCAGGGACCTATAGACCAATATAAGTCTTTTAAAGTCTAATCTCTGAGATACAGGGAGCGAGTGTAACGACTTTGATGCTGGGGTGATGTGCTCCACTTTCTTAGCTGTAGTAAGGTTGCGGGCAACACTATTCTTAATCAACTGCAGCTGTCTGATCAACTTTGTAGGTGCACCTGTAAAGACATAATTGCAGTTATCAATTTGGCTAAAGATAAACATGTGGATTAGTTTTTTGAGATCCTTCAGAGGCATCAGTCTTTTAATCCTGTATATTTCTTGATATTTCTATGTTTGTTATTGTCTTAAGTTTAATCATGTAAAGCACTTTGAATTGTCTTTGTACTGAATTGTGCTATACAAATAAATTTGCCTTGCCTTGCCTTGCCTTAAGTGCCTCTGTAAGGTCCGGCATGAGTCAATAGCTGCACACAGACATTGGGCTGGATATGTGAGCCGCTATCTGCCAAAGC